CAGGATTTTTATAAAGAGGTGGTAAGATATGTAAAAGACCATGGGGAGATAAGTTAATCCAGCTATACAATAGATTAATCATGATCAGAGATTTCGAGACGTGTCCTTTCAACTCTAATACAACATCTTCGAAGACTTTGACCATATCTCACTCGTTTTAAGCATGTCTTTGTTGGCGAAAGTAATAGCTGGGTTCGATTATACCATAGATATAGGAGATCTAGATTGCTAACGCATACCTATAGCGCAGGCGGGGCCTACATGATAAATCCAAGATGGCGGTACAACAGGGCAAAAAGACTATAGATTCTATTACGAAAATCAGGATTTTTTCAGTTTTTGCCGTCGCATTGTTTCGAAACTTATTCGGTTAAGTTTTATGGTAAAGAGAAACTTACCGCGAAGATTTTGAGCATATATATGATTGAATTGGATGAAAACTCGCAAAATTATCCATCGATAAAAGTTCGTGTGAAATGGTCACTTGGTCAGTTCGAGCGTTTCATTGCCAGAAATACTGTGTATTGTTAACATCTAGCCTTGTGAATGGTGTTTTATACTTGCAACAAACATTGTGAAAGATGTAGAGAAACTAGCATGAGAATTAATTGTGGTAGTCGTATTCGTTCAGGTCAAGAATGCCCAAGACTTGGAATCATGAAATGGACATATTGTATTTATACTGTCCAGTCAAGATTGTTTAGTGTATTTTGAATGGATTTATGTTTTTACGTCTTTTATAGATAGGTATCCGGTAGCTGATATTTTGGGATAAAAATCTATGCTTATGACAGACTGACAGTAACTAGCCTATTCTTTTTCAATAGAAAATTATAATTGTGTTATTGTTCCTGTCATTTAGCTAATGACCACATTTTTTTTTATTTTTCAGTATGCATAATACTTAACTGGAATTGTATTTTATAAACATTTGAACTGGCATTTTATATTTTAATTATTGTAAATATATGATCTAGGGAATATAGGGGCCTTAAACTATAGCCATGTGGTTTCTGTTAGGTCCCTAGCCAGCTAGCCCCAATTCTTGTAAGTAACTTTGCAAGTAACAAGATTGATATATATTTTTTGAAATGCAGTATTGTATAATATTTTAGAACATAAGGAGTTGTTCAATTGTATATAAGCTCTTTTTTAACTGACCTGCCCCCATTGTCATCTCTCGTCATCATCTGCTCTGTCCCCATAATTATGAAAAATGAACTGTTATGTACCCCCCCCCCC